TTTGCATTCTGTATTATTCCAACTTCTCTTAAGTAAAATATTGCGTGACAGAATGTCTTGACAATCACATTGCTCTTCAAAAATATTCATTACGTGAAATTTAAGGTTAAAGACCTTCATTTTTGCCAACATTTTATTTGGCTTCTTTTTATATTTTCATTTTATTTATATAAATTCAATGCATTGTCAGATATACTGTTGTTGGTACATGTTGCCTTGCATTAAAAAGATTCTGGGTTCAAATCCAGCGTCTAAACAAACACAATACACACAAGCAGCAGAAATGAATTCATTATAGGTTTAAATTATTACTTTGCTAATGTTCAGTCTAAGGTTTTCTTCCGCATTCAAACTGTCCGCGCATTTGTCAACATGTCCTGAGATAACTTAGCTTAACTTTAACGGGAGGCCTTAATTTTTGGACCGGTTCTGCATCGTTCGAACGGTTCATTGTTCGAGTGGAGGAGCGACGGGTTCTCATGTGGATTTTGCTGCGTTGCAGAGACGCTTCATCTGGTTGGACGGATCCCGCTGGAGCTACCAGGACTGGCTCCCAGGCGAGCCAAACCACACAGCCGGAGTGGAGAACTGTGTGGAAATTCTGGGTAAGAGATGACCTGCTGGTCAGATTTGAGATTTTTATTGAGGTTGGAAATATTTTTTATTTTTATTTTAAATATTAAGAAGAAGAAAGAAAGAAAAGTTTTTAGGAACATGTTGAAATCTAAATTGAAACTGAACACAGAAATTCATATTGAATTTAATTAAAATCTTAAAGAAAAAGTTGCTTGATAGGGACATCTGAGATAAAGGAGCAATGTGGATATATGTAACTTTAAAACTGTGAAAGCGTTGAGAAGTAAGGTGGCAAGTTTTAGCTTAAGACCAAATGATTCACTTTTGAAAAAGTTTAGCCTCAATGGAGAGTTAAACTGAAACACAACTTAATTACAAGTTGTTTCCAACTAATATTAGTGCCTCACTATGCTGAAAAACGTTGTTGTGCTAAGGTTTCTCAAATTTTTAGCTTGTTTGGTGTAAAGCCTTATGAGGAGCGTATTGAAAACGCTTCACACTGACATATCTCCATAACCCATTTGCATCCTGCTCTGCCTCCTGTCCTGAACAATCCTCTCCATGTCCAGCGTAATTCACAGGGAGGATGTGACCTCCTGCTGTGACGCAACAGCAGCTGTAAAAAAATAAAAATAAGACTCCCTTCATGTCTGAAAAGCAGCTTGATTTCTACTCAGAAATGCAGGGCAAAAACCTTAAGTCCATAGCAGGTAATATAAAGATGTTAGTGGTGTTTAAAATGACTGTTTAATTTTTAAAATCAAACCACTTCTAACTTTAGCCAAGTAGCTGTGAGGCGGAGCGGCTAAACAGTGAGTTTAGCGTAAAGAAAATAAAGGAAGTGACATTCCCCTGTGGTTTATTGTCACAAGCTTTGCTGCTTCTTTAAGCAAACATATATTTTATTGATTTCTCACATATCCATGTGGGTGACAGCAGACGTGTGGACAGGATGAGAGCTAAAAACAGCGACATGAACAGATTTTCCCTCAGGTTGCCCTCCAAACATAGAAAGGTGAACTGTGTTTGATCGATTCTGCAAACTTACTTTATTGGATATAAGTTCCATAATTCAACACTGAATTTCAATCTCCATGTTGGATGAAGTTTAATTGGCTAATGTTGGCCACTAATGTCTACAAAACTAGCTTTAAGGAACAATAAATTGTTTAGATTTTTATATCTGGTCAAGTTGGTCTGTGTATTTATTTCAATTAATAAGTGAAATGATAGTTAACTGTCTTATTTACTCAAGTTAAAATATGATATTAAAATTTGCTTGACAGAGTGAAATACTTAAAATGTGACAAAAAAAAAAGGAAAAACAGAAGAAATGTGTATGGAGGCAAATTATTGTCAAGAAATAGTACATAATGGTTTATATTTTTTTATCTAAATATTAAAAGTTGCAGTAAAGGAAAGCTTAAATGTCTCACTTTTTACTCATGATTTGATTTTTGTCTGCTTTTGTTTCTTCAGGAAATGGAAAGTTTAATGACTTCACATGTTGGGAAGCTCAAGCTTTCGTCTGCTCCTACCCTGCTTTGTAAATTCAGAGGAAGAACAAACAAGCTACTTTACTTTTTTTTACCTGAATGTATGCTTAATTCAGAGTTTTATCCATTGCTTTGTGTCTGTATTTGTCAATTAGGAACAGACTTTTTGTACTAAACAATTAGTCTAAAAAGAAAAACAGATAAGTCAATATTTCAGTCAAAACCTTCTATGTTTTTGGTTTTTAGCTTCTGTCAATTGGGATTAGTTTGTAAACTGACAAACGATGTTGGGTTTGTTTTTATAAAATGGGTGAAGCACATTTAAAATGCTCCAATCATATTTCAGCAACGTTTGATTTAATGGTGTCAGCTGGTTGGGGTAAAAACTCGAATTATTTCTCCATGTATTTGTTTTTTGTTTTTTTTTTAAAAAAAAGCCTTTTGATAAAGAACAACTTCTTAACAGTGATTATATTGTTGTGAATACCAGCATAAGGTAGCATGTAATTACACTGTTATTGCATGTTTATAAGTGCATGTAAAGACCACTGTATGTTCAAGCATTAAATACAGTTCAAAAAACTATTATATTTGCTGTCAGAATAACATGAGATGCAATAAAAAAAACAATTAACAAGGATTTTTTTTCTCAATCTGTATAAATTAACGCATAATTTAATATTTATATAACCATGTTATTATGAGTGCGGTTTAGGGGAGTGAAGGTGATTTAATTACAACCTTCAGTTGTTAATCTCGTCATTTATAAAGTAAACTTTAAGGTTTTTCCATTAGTTTGCAGCTGTTTCTGATATCCTCAATTAGTTAAAACTATACATTGCCTATTAGGAAAGAGAGATGACAAATTTTAAATGTATGTCAAATGCAGTGAATTTAATAAATGACGTATTTGATGTAACTGCCAAGCAAAACACTAATAGTCCGTTTAACTCATTTAGACCAGTAGACCAGGTTAGGCCAGGTCTACTAGACGGTAGACCAGGTTCTGTTTGTTATAAACAGCCAGCTTAAAACTACGAGCGTTTGCAAACCTGATCACAAGCCGATCACACTCTTCTGCTAATAAAGCGTCTTTGTGCATTGAATATAAATCCTCGCCCTCCTTTTAAAATTACTGCGGATTAACACCCATTTACTGATATATTTACACTCCCCGGCTGCAAATAGAGCTACTATAAGCTCGCTGTGACTTACATGCTGCTGTGTGACTCATTTTCCACTGACCCATACACAATATTTTCCTGACCTTTGCACACAGAGATGAGGATTACAAACTCTAAGGTCTTTATCCTGCTGTTATATTTGCTGACTGCTCCACCTATGGATGCATGAATTATCACCACACACACGCACACACATGCACACACACACACACACACACGTTCTCACCACCATTCCTAATATTCAGATGACAGGGACTTTTGTCAACTATTGTTCAAAATGCCACATGGGTTCTCTCAGGCTTTCCGCTGTTCTCCTACCAGGAAAATTTATGGCTGCAGGAATTAAGAGATCATGGATAAATGTGCATGTGAGCTCTGCTACTCAGAGGAATAGCCCTTATAGCCTTAGTGTGCAGTAAGTATTTAAATAGCTCAGATTAATTTATGGACTCTATACATCATCGGAAAGGATTGTTTTTGTTGTTGTGAGTCAGGGAAATACACTGAATTTCACAGCAGAGATTATAAAGCGCAGAACAGAGAGCCATGTATTCCTCCTGTTGGGATCACGCCACTCTGCGGGGATGGAAATCCCCCCCCCCCATAATACCTTCACTGATCGTTAGTGTTGCTGTTTAGATGAAAGTGACTCACTGTTTGTGCTCACCATCTGTCAGTTCAAGCCATTTTCCAGCTTCATGCAGCACCGCCACCTGTTTGCCGGCTCCACTCTGTGTGTTTGTGAGCTCAATTCACCAAAGCTGTGAATCCTCCCACCTAACCCTGGACAGCCTGGCTTACAGCGCCGTCACCGAGTCCGTTCTCAGTCAGCAGGCTGGACTCTGCTGCTGGCAACATCACACGCAAAACAAGATTTAGGGAATTGTCTTTTAGTGTGTTTTAATGTACCAACACTTAACTCTTATATGTAATTGTAGCGTTAACTATTGGTCTGACAGCACTCGAGTATACCAATATTTTCTTTCTGGTATTTCTTGACTAATAAATGTCAACATTTATTTCTATTGGTTGAAGAACACCTGAACTTGTCTTTACCATTTTGAAGAGAAGCGAAATGGATCTCAGAGGAAACGTCCCTTGTGTTTTATGGACAGTGTGTCTCTGCGCCAGAAAATTTCTTTATAATATCTGCGAAACCTCCTCTTGCAGAAGCCCATTTATCACCCAGTTATTTCATTTAGGCCTGTGGCAGCAGGGAAACGCTTAAAACATGCAGGACCGGGTTGACAGAATTGACAAGCACCGTCCCAGACTTTCTGATAAGCCATAAAAAGTTCAGTGTAAAAATGAGAAATGCTTTAGTTGCAATCAGTGGTAGAGAAATGATTAGAGATACTGATAAGCATGGTAAAAAACAATTTCTGAATGTGGGATTTGTTTAGAAAAAAAAATACATCTTTCTTTAATAGCGTCACAGCACAGTATGGAGGATGAAAGGCCTCTTTGCCATCACCCTAATCGTTTTTTTCTCACCACAGATTATAACAGTCAACTCAGGACTCCAGTTGGGCCACTCCAAATATATATATATATATATATATATATATATATATATATATATATATATATATATATATATATATATATATATATATATATATATATATATCAACAGATATAAGCTCTTTTAGAAAGAAAACTTCGCACCATAATCTGCCAACATAAATCTTTGCTTTTAATTTTTACGTTTAGAGATCCAAATAAAGTTGTTTAAATAATTAGTTGACCAAACATTATTTTTTTGATCTGGTTGCCTCCATCTTTTGTGAGCAGGTTTGCACTAGAAGAAGGGAATAATTACTGCATGACACACATTATTAAATTTAAAGGCGCAATAACTCGCATATCGTCAAGCCAATCAAGAGAACATATTGGGACTGTTATAAAACGACAGAAGATGTGAGGAAGAGGATGAAAGGTGGAGGCGCATGGAGAAGGTTTCAATCATTTAGTGCTTAAATCTTCTGCACGTGTGCGGCATAGCAGAGGATTGCATCACACGATGCAAGCTGCTGTTGAAGCGTTGGGAGGGGTCCCTGGCATAGACCCCTGCTTCCCTCAGAGGCAGGTCACAGAGTACAGATGATGCCGTCTCTATAAAGACATGAACTCAACCCACAAAGGTGTGCACTCTGTGGCAAAAAAAATAAATAAATTAGAAGAGGAGGATACCGCTTCCTGAAGGTATGTTTCACATTTTCTGAAATTTAACATTTCAACTAATAATTTTCCTTCCACCTACTGAGATGGCTAAAGAATGACACCATATGTGTTTTGCATTGGAAAAAAAAAATACCTGATAGTATTAGAAACTACTTTCCATACTTGTTCTGAACTTTAGCAGATTGTAATTTCTTTAGAAAACTCTGCATTAGCTCTGGTTGCCACATCAGATAATAGAGGAAATCTTTGTGCTGTTCTCATCTCTCAGCACTGTTCAGAAGACATGGAAGGATTGCTATCAACCAGCCAACCTTTTCTACCAAAGAATTCGGAAAGCAGAAGGAAAGAAATCATGAGTCATGATGAGAAACTGCAGAGCAAGGAAGAAATGACCGATCTGGGTAAACCACAATTCACCCTACCACGACAAGTTGTCACTGAAAAGAACAGAGAACTATTTTTATACAGTTACTTCATTACAAAGCTTGACCAACGCAAATATATAAATGTATCTGATGTCTTGTGCTGAAACTTTAACAGACAAAGATATGATGACAAGAGAGGGTCTGGACAGGAGGAATGTCTGGGAGCCGAGCCTTTACTATCCCCTGGGAAAGGAGTCCTTTCATTTTGTTGGTCATGAAATCAACATCCGGGAGTCTACGGACTCATACGGAGCTCTGATTTGGCCTGGGGTAAGTTCTTCCATCACCACTCTGCAAATTCACTGGACAACAGTGGCTTTTGCATGAATGGTTCCCTGAGTGAGGCATGCTTACTGCCACCCACCAACCAATCAAAATACAGGAGATTGTCTACATTTTAGGAAGATGCAGTGCAAATTCATACAAAGCAAGTTAAATAGTCACACTATTCTCAGCAGCAATGGGATGGCAGATGTCCATTGACTGCACCGGTACAAAATGTGCACCTAATTTGTTTTTTATTTTATATTTGTGTGGCCTTCCTCTTTCTGATGCCACTCTGGGCAACTATAGCTACCTTGTCCATATTAAAAATTGCCACTGCTGATAAATGTAAAAAACACAATTAAAAAAAATGTCTCTTTTTATAGGCAATAGCTCTCTGTCAGTTCTTAGAAAACAACCAGCAACAAATGAACCTGATGGACAAAGCAGTGCTAGAGCTCGGAGCTGGAACGGGCTTACTCTCCATAGTGGCAAGTTTGTTAGGTGAGTTTGTGTTTACATGGTTTGAACGGTAATAAATTATTTTTAAATTCTTGAAAAGGGATGGATGGATATTGTTAAATTTTAGTTGTTTTTATTGGCTGATGCATTTTTATTTATTTATTTATTTATTAATTTATTTATTTGCGTGAATGCTTTAGCTTTGTAGCTAATTTTAGCTTTAATGTGGGTAAATTTTTTGGCGTGAATGTTTTAGCTTTGTAGCTAACTTTAGGTTTAATATAGGTTTATTTTTTGGTATGAATGTTTTAGCTTTGTAGCTAATTTTAGCTTTAATGTAGGTTTGTTTTTTGGTGTGAATAGCTTTGTAGCTAATTTTAGTTTTAATGTAGGTTGTTGCGTACTGCGTGACGTCAGTTACATCAGATCAACATGCTAGCGATAGCCTGCATGCTATTATAAGTATTTTAGCTAGCTTCAGTTTTTTTTTGTTTGTTTGTTTTAGCTCAGTTTAATTTACAAACTCTGCTTGCACATTAGGTAGAGTAAACGTTTGAAACTTTTACTCCACAATTTTATATTTAGTGGCTCACATTTAGTGACCCACAATTTTTGACATATTAGCTAAAAAACTATAACACACACGCAGCTCTTGAACAGATGGCCTTACAATCTAGCGTTGTAAGCAGTCAAACTGGACAAATTTATGAGACTCCATAGCTGGGATTTTTACGTTGACTTAAAGTTTTCACTCATTTTCAGCAGTTTTTCAATACAAGTTTTATACAGACTGTTTTGCTTTTTCTGCTGCTTCTCCTTATTTTTCATATTTCTGCAATTCTTCTGCGGTTGACTTCAAACGCTTCTGCAATTTTCACCAAACACATTAAGCTTACAGCTGAATTTTCACAAGCAATGCAAATTTTTCTACTTTTTCTTTTCTTTTTTTTTTACATTTTTGTATATTTTAAAAGTATGTCACTCAAAAATGTCTTATGTCTCCAACAGGTGCCTGGGTGACGGCTACTGATTTGCCTGACATCTTGTCTAATCTGTCCTTCAACCTTCGCCGGAATACCAAGGGCCGTTCCCGCTACATCCCTCAGGTGGCTGCCCTCTCCTGGGGCCAGGAGCTGGAGCGAGACTTCCCCTTCCCGTCCTACCGCTACGATTATGTGCTTGCAGCTGATGTGGTGTATCACCACGACTTCCTTGAGGAACTGCTGAACACTATGCTTCACTTCTGCAGACGAGGGAGCGGGACGACCCTGCTTTGGGCGAACAAACTTAGGTTCCAGTCAGACCAGAGGTTCACAGAGTGCTTTAAGAGCAGCTTCAACACAACGCTGCTTGTTGAGGTACCGCAGGAGAATGTGTGTATATACAAGGCCACAGCAAAGGAGTGAACAAATGAGATGTAAAAGCTGGAAACTAGTTTACAAACTTCCTAAATTTATTTGTCTTTTGTTGGTTTAAAGGAAATGTTTGGCTTGTTCCGTTATCATACAGTTCATATTTTCCAGTAATGTCACATGAAATCAAATCACTGTAATACTTTCCAAGTACCCTTTTGGTTTTGATACGGGCCTGTATGACATTCCTTGACTGGAGTATAAACACCATATTGCAAAATGCAAAGTTCCTGACACAAGATTTCATATGAATAAACTAGTTTTATTTTAATCTTTTTAAACATTTTCTACTTCTGAACAATATATATATTTTTAAGAAATAATTAGTTTCCTATTATTTACCTCAGAAAAAAACCAACCCGACACAGTGCTTCATTCACAGTTATTCATTATAAGTGACAATAGTTGATCAATAAATAAATGTTTATGAAATATTTAAAAACAAGCGTGAAAGTTTGAGCTTTTTGGGCCTGGTAGCGTGGAATAAAATCAGTTTTATAATTTGTAAAGAAGAAAAAAACACATTCACATAAATGGCATATGCTCTATAGCAGCATGTTGACAAAAAAATAAAAACAAAGCTTTTGAAATGTTCGGAAAATTACTGACAGCACCAGATGCATAATTACTAAAACTCTATTAATGGGATTTTTAAAAACGCCTTGTGTGAATTCAGCACACGACCACATGAAATGAAGTTACGTTGTTTGGAATTACTAAATGAAGTCCTCTCCAAATTCAAGCTTCGCCTTTATTTTGTCCTTTGCATTTCCAGGAAAGGAAAACAGTTCAAAACTTTCTCCATCTGTAGTCAGAAAGCTCAGAAGACACTTTTGTCCTTCATGGGGGGCTTTAACAACACCTCTTCTACAGAAATACAAGTCTATTAACTGCATTTATTTTCAGTTTGTGTCCACGACTTTACGATATGCAGCAGGTCGAGGACTTTGGCTGCTCCAGGATGGACTCTCTGCGGAGATCGTTTGGGATGGTGCCTTCAGGTCCCCAGAGGTTCAGCTCTCCGTAAATGCCCATGTCAATCATCTCCTCTTGCCAGGGGATCGAGATGTTGCCTGTAGCAAACTCGTCGAAAAATGTCTTATCGGGATCCTCCAAAGCGACACCCCTCACCGAAGAGAAAGCCCCGACGTCATCCAGATCCTTGGCGTAGACTACCTTAGGGTCGGGGACGAAAGGAGGCGGAAGGATACCTGAGGGGTTCAGAAAAAAATCGATGAGTTAAAGCTTTGCTAGTGCCTACTGAGACTTTATAGCGTTAGAAAACCATTAATGAATGTTTGAATGTTTTGACATTCTGTTACATTTGAATTACCAACACATAAAAACTTCATAAACTCTGGAATTTTATGTGATAATCAGTGGACAATTGTGAATCAGAGGGAAAATGATATATTTACAGAATAAAAATCTGAAAAGTGTGGCATGCATTAACATTTAACCCCTTATACCTCTATTTGTGTTGTTTCGTTGTTCTCCACCAGTCTCAGGTCTTTGGCACCGTCTTTCAGGTTTTCTTTACCAACTTTATAAACTTTAGCATATTTTCTTTCCACACTGAAGAAAATTATCCTCTTATTATGATTCTGCCACCATCATGTTTCATGGTGGGGATGGTGTGTGAGCTCTACTCACTAGTTATTGACCTCTGAAGGCAGTAGTTGCATTGAAATTTGTTTAGGGACATCAGAGTAAAAGGGGCTCAATATATATGTATGCCAAATGGTTTAGATTTGCACTAACATTCATCTATTTCTTTCCACTTCACAATTAGGTAATAGTTTGCGTTGGACTATGGTATAAACACACAACTATACAATTCTCTGTATTTGTGGTTCTCGTATGTCAACTCAAGAAACGATCGAAGGCTGCGTACCTGCATTGAGTTTCCTCCAGTTAATGTCTTTGAAAAAAGGATGCGCTCTGATTTCGTCGCAGCATTCGTTCTTGAACCCCATCCTCTGATCGACCTCTTTCGCCAGCAGCCCGTCACACAGCGATTTCGCGTGTTCACTGAAGTTGTCTGTATAGGTCACCACGCGGTTCAGCATGCGCTCCTTCATCTCTTCTCTTTCAACCTGAGCAGACGACGAACAACCTCTCATCAGCTCGTTTATCCGATAAAAACTCCAACATTTCCACACGAGTCGACAGCCGCAGCTGCCAAAAACAGCCTAACCTTTTCTCCTCGGTTTCTAAACGGATTCTTAGCTGCGATAAACTCGTACAGAGTCACCCCCAAGGTGAAGTAGTCCACCGAGCTGTCATATTTATCTCCTTTCAGCATCTCTGGAGCCATGTAACCTGCAAGAGGAAAAATAATCAGGACAGGCCATTATAGTTATAGAGACACAAATATGGTGGCAGTAACAACGACCGTGACACTTGCACAGAAAAAACTTTAGGTGGTCATAAATGGAGACAATAAGAAGGTAAAATTAGACTGACCTGGTGTTCCAGCGTAGCCTTTGGTCATTGTTTTGCCTTCTTTTAGCTCTACAGCAAGACCCAAGTCAGATATACGAACATTACCTGTTTAAACAAATTAGAATCAAATTAATAGAATACCACATAAAATTTAACTTTTTTTTTTTTTTGGACTTAGAATTATGTTATTGTTGTTGCACAAAGACACAACAGTGAAACTGGCAATGAAATGTCATCGCCTGGCAACCGGAAAGCACAAATCACAAGTGTGTCTATAAATACATAAATATACAAATAATAATATATTACAAAATATGAGTAACTTAGCACTTTCACAAAGTCTTACTGATGGCATTGTTGAGCAATCTGACGGCCAATGGGAGGCAACTATTTCTGAGTCCGGCTGTTCGACAGCGGACTCTACAGAATCTTCTGCCAACCGGATGACCAGAGCGTGGAGAGGATCGGTGTGATCTACAAGCACTGAGGTTTCATTAAGGGCATTTACCATCATTGTCAAGCAGCACATTTTCTGGTTTGAGGTCACGGTAGATGATTCGTTTCTGGTGGAGATGCTCCAGACCCTGGATGATCTGAGCGATGTAAAAACAGGCTCTGGGCTCATCAAACCCCGGGTTGTTCTCATCCACCAGGTAGACGTGGTACCTGAACAGAGCAAACAGCAGAGGACGACTCTTCACATGTAAAGAACGCTGCTAAACATTATATTGTGTACAGATGGATATTATAATACCCATTGATATTTATCATGTATTTTAATTTAACTTAGTGAATATGACTTGAAAACTTTTTTTTTTTTTTTAAAGTCAAATTTTCTGGAAAAGCAGAATTCGAACTTGTTTTCAACTGTAAATGACGATAAGAGGTCAGCGCTTTAGGAGAACCCACAAAACATTACGCGTCCTCTTAAAATGGATGCCTTGTTTTGCCTTCATAAAGCATTCCTTTGGGGACGTATTTGCATGAACCGATTCTGAACTTGTGCCCTTCTGCTTGGCATTAATGTTGCCGAGATCCTTCATCTGAGTAACATGAGTTTGGATTTTATAAGCAAGCAAAAAGATGCGAGAAATAAATTCATGCACAGAAGTTAGAGTTAAATTACACTTGGTATTATTGGTGAAGTTTCATCTCGCCTTTTTTAAGCCATTCCTTTCACATCAAGTTATTCTTATGTTGAAAAAGTGGGCTAAAAAAACTGTGTGTGGTTTGCATGGTGAATTTACTTGAGGTCTCCTCCATTCATGATGGTCATGACCAGACAAAGCTCGTCCTTTGTCTGGAAGGCGTAAGCCAACGAGACAATAAAGCGACTGTGGACCTTCTCCAGAATCCTCTTCTCCACCATTGCCCCCTACAGGGATAAAACACGGGAGGCGATTTTAATAAAAGGAGATAAGTGACGTTAAACAACAAAAAGCTACAACGGAGCCTTGTGCATTAGTTCGAGGGTCTGTGCCATTTTTTTTTCGGGAGGAAGTAGGACGTGCATTTTGCAGGATGACCTCAGCCAAGTCAAGGGCAAGATATAACTGCAAGGAGTTCCCTTCAGAGGAGCTTTTCAGTAAAGCCCCCAGTAATCACTCTATCCCTGTCTCAGTGTTTAATTCTGCAGGCTAAAGCCAAACGAGACAGAGGCAGGGACAAAGATGATTAACACCCCTGCAGCCTGGCAAGCACAGAACACTTTTGCTAATACATAAAGCCAAATTAATACCTTTATTATTCACTTCTTTGGAACAAAAAGCACCCAACAGGGCGTCTAATTGAATGTAATGCCTGACAAAGTAAAGAAACCAGTGATAAATTCATGCAACAAAACGCTTTATGCGTCGAAATTGTCATAAATCGTGCAGTCTGCTGTGTGGGAAAAATAAACTTTCACCAGTTCCCACTTTTGCATATCTAATTGAAGAGGAGGAAGTCTGATGTTTGCTTAACTGTAAAAGAGTCATAAATATATGCACAGCTGAAAATGTTGCACAAGTAAAAGTCGGTGTCGTCATAGCGTCAGTGTTTGCATTGCCTCAGTCTAGGGACGTCTTGGTTGCAACATCATCCAACGTTTCAGGTGCTGTGCATTCACTATCCATCACTATCTGTTATGACGTGATCGAGTTCTTGCAGATCAGTCACACAGTGTGAGGTGCAGACTATCTGATGATGTGAAAACTTTGATTTTGACAGAATTTGTTATCCTTTTCTTAAAAAATAAGATGAAACTTTTTCTTCTGGTGCTTGACGTTTATAGATTTTACATACTTTATTTTATTATAATCATCAACAAAGAAGATAAAGTCCTTTTTCTAAATCGACTCTAAAGACATTGTGTGTTTTCAAAGCCAGCTGAGCAACAGACAGAGAAAAAAAAGTGCAGGGTTTTCACCTCATAGCCTTTCCTCTTCTTCAGCCTCTTCTTGTTGAGTTTCTTACATGCGTAAAGTTTCCCGGTGGCCTTCATCTGACAGGCAGACACCTCGCCGAAGCCACCTTTCCCCAGCACACGGAAGTCCAGGAACCAGTCCGCATCCATGGGCTGCATCTCCAGCCACTTCCACTGCAGGAACCTCTTCAGGTACATGCTCTCCAGATAGAACGTGTAAGGGGCCTCTCGGAGGTACTCCAGCGTTTTGGCCAGCGATGCAGAGAACAAATCGTCCCCTACAGCCTCCAGGTTTTCCTTTACCTTGGCTATGATGTCCTCAGGAAGGTACGGGCAGAAGTGTTTGGCAGATGGGTCCATGTACCTCTGGACAATCTTGGAGGCTTTCTTTCCTCTGTCGGAGTCCTCTGCCAGGTCATAGTCCTCGATGTCTTTCCACAAACGACAAGCGCCGTGATACTCTTTATTCGCTTCCAAAAACTCCCTAAAGAGGCGTTTGCCGATCGGCTGTTCCACGCAGACCGAGTCAAAGGCCAAATCGAGGGTGTCCCTCAGGCCCTCGCAGATGGTGATGTGGGGCAGTTTGAGGCGAGCGTGGTACTTCTTATCCCGCGCTGCTGCAGGGTTGGAGCCATCGATGCTTCCACGTGCGTTGATGTACGCAGAATTTGCTACCACAGTGGTCAGTCCTCCAATATCCATGTTGAGGGCAAGTGAGTGTTAGGCAAAGGAGAGGGAAGACATTGCAAATAGAGAGCGGAGGCAGATGATGTTTGCTAATAATTACTCTCCAAAAGTGAGGGTGGAAAAGGGGAAAAAGGAGCGAGGAAACAGGAGACAGAGGAGTTGGTAGAGGGAGCATAAGAGGGGGAAATGCAACTCAAGAAGACTGCAGCATACTTTGAGGGACTGTGCTACACAAATACACACACACACAGGAACACACACACACCTGAGTCAACACCTTTCAGTAATCCATTAAAACCCCGATGCCCCAGACAAAGTGTGCGAGCACCTGCTGGAACAGTACAACTCCAGAACCGTCTGCAGGAGTCAACCGGTGCAAGTGGGCTCGACTCATTTCGCTGTAGTTTGAAAAAGGAAAAAGGTCTAAAACCGAATGAGGCTGACTATGAACAGAAGTTGTTTGTTGCTAATGCTTATCCTAATTAAAGAGTAAAAGGAAAACAATGCAATGACCTGCAAATTATAAAAAAAAACAACTAATAAATATAATGTACTTCTGCAAAACATTTAAAAGAAAGCTGCCTGATGGTGAAGAATACAGAGATTTTATGTGACAAAGCAAAACAACGCAGGTCATGTCTGTTACTTGGAAGGAAATGGGCTTCACACTTTTCTACAAATAAGAAAAAAGTGCCATTCATTTGTTTTGGCCTTATTTTACTCTGATATTATTAAACTAATCCAAGGAAACATCAACTACTTAAGAGTGTAATTGTGTGTAATTTTACCACAACTTGATACATCAGTTCAATCTAACATCTGAAAATGTAAGTATAACTCAACTGCAAACCTACGAAGACTTGGTGTTTCACCTAAACTGACTGACCACAAACGGAGCTCTCGTTGCTGAAGCAGCCAAGAGGCGCATGGTAACTCTGGAGGAGCTGCAAATATTCATGGCTCAGGTAAGAACAAATTATGGAAATATCAGAAAGAAAGCCAATGTTTGAAAAAAAAAAAACCCTACAAATCCTGTTTAATGTGACACAGCGAACACGTGGAAGGATTTGCTCTGATCAGATGAGACCAAAATAAAACTTTGTACATGGATTTTGTGGTGCGATATGAATTATTGTTACATCGCAAAACTCAAGTGTGCTCGAGTATTTTAAGTCACGTTATACTTGAGGATCAACGATACAGGATGCAACTTTCAAAAAATTTCTACTTCTCTCTCCAGTCCAAATTAAATCGAAAAACAGGATCAATAATATTTTCAGACTGATGTGAGATGAGATGAGCCTCGCGTCGTAGAAAATGACATTTTTGTTCACACTTTGTTTTTAATAAGCTACTGACCTTGACATCAGATGAGTGAGGCTTCCAGTGCTTCGGATGTCCTGGATTTGTTTCTGACTTTCAGAAGGAGTCGTCATTAATCTCTTTATTTTGATACTCTGGTTGTTCTTGTGAAGGTTTCATGTTTTCGCCATTTGTAGACCAGAGGTCTCCCTGTAGTCTCAAAGCTTTAGAAGCTGCTTTGTAATCCATGAATTCATGATGTGTTGCATTTCTAGATAACTTATTTTATATTGTAAAACTTATTCTAGTTATGTCTGATGTCTCAGTGTCAAAAATCATATTTATGTTAGATTTTTAAAAAAAATCATGCAAGACAGGTTAGTTTTAATAGATTTTCCACCTCAGTAAAATAATTAGAAAACCACTTTTGTATTTATTCAGGTTACCTTTTTTTGATGACTTGAAACATAATAGTCTAACAAAAAAGCATAAACATAAGAAATCTATAATAATAAAGTTGCTGGTTTTTCACAGGCAGATTCTCTCCACTGATCTGGAGCTTTGCAGAAACAAATAGTGCACGTTACCCAAGTGTGCACCTCCTACCTTTTAAACTTGAATTTTAAGGAAAAAGACAAAAGGGCAATTGAAGAGCACTAAGTTTTAGTTGAAGCTTTGCAGTTTTGGTTGATTGTGCCCGACTTTTCTGTGCATATATATATATTTTTTTGTAAATGCTTTGAAAATACATTGTTAAAATTAGTTAAAATTATATAACCAGCTGACGATTTGCTCAGAAATGATGTTTGGTCCTTTAAGGTAAATAAAACAAAATGCGAGATCCAGGATGCGTCTAACTTCAGAGTTTCCACTTCCAACAAAAACGGTAGATGCAAACTTATTAAAACAATCTATATTTTAATTTGCAAACTTATATTAGATTACAGAAAAAGGTATTTGGAAGAGTCAGTACACATGTTGCTCAGTTTTAAAAGGGAGATCTTTGAAGGGAATACACAAAGATCTATACAACCACACATTGTGTTACATCAATAATTTTTGAAAGGTCTATCTTAACCACTGGCCTCTAAAGGATACTATAAGCTACAATCTTTGTAGGATTTATATACTTAATTAACAAACAAAGCTTATTTACCTATCAGGAGCCTGGGTTATGAGTCTTTACCTCGCTGCTGACATTTTTTTGTAAACACTACCGAGACGTCAAACAGGGCGGCGGTGAAAAATTCCTCAACTCCAGAATACAAAAAAAACAACAAAAAAAAAAACAAACAAAAACAAAACAAAACTAGCAAACAGGATCAGAAAGCAGCTGCCTACAAAACAAGAGGAAGCCAACCCATCTCAATGGGAAACTATCTTAAATCATTGTGCAGAACACAAAAATGAAAATGTACCGACGGGTCGGACGGAGTCCCGACGGGGGACGCCGTTTCCAAGACCCGCCGAGGAGACTAACAGCACGTTAACGCAGACATATTAGGGAACATTTTGATCATAATGTCTGTCTGCCAAAGGTTAATAGCAAAAAAAAAAATAAACAAGTAACTATTTAAACAGGTACATTTTACATTCTCCAACAGCAGTGTGTTTTTATAGTGGGATGGCTTATTGAAAAACAGGATTAGACGTACGTAGACTTCAGGTGGCCGAGTCGAAACGAAAAAAACAAAAAAAAAAAAAAAAAACCCAAAAAAAAAAAACAAAAAAAAAAAAAAAAAAAAAAAAAAA